GAAACAAGATTAACTATAACTTTTGTTTTCAATTATCCTTCTGGAACATATCAAAAATGTCCTTTAAAAATATTATCCTTCAAGATTTTTAATTTAGAATGAGTTTTGAAGAATCTTAGTTTAATTTAAATCTTATTAATATATATAAGGATACTAAAGGATACAAATTTCAAAGGATATTTTTAAAAATTTCTAATTAATACTGCCACATTTATTCTTTAATCAACCCGAGAGGACATGTCAAACACTCAAACACTTTATTTTGTTTATTTAATATTATGAAATGCATTTTTTTTAAAGGAGGAAAAGAATTTGTTAAAAAAGTTGAATATGAAAATTTAATTAAAAAATGGTCACAAATTATTAGACTAAAAACATAGTTTTGCAGCCTTGTAACAACCCCTTCAAATCCACTATGATTTTTCCATAAATTAATTTTTTCGATGTCCTTGGGAGACATCCTGCCGTACATATGTATCTTTTCTAGTAGAAAAATTTGTGTATCCCCTGAAAACGTGCAATTCTGAACATTTTTTNGATCGTTAGCCTACGGCCATAAAACTTTATATATATGCTATTTAGGCTAAAAAGCACAAATATAGAGGGTATGCATATCAAAATTTGCACACAAGTTTTTTTTCCATATATTCTTGGGACAGTCTAATATACGTATATAGTAAAATTAATNATCTTATTTTGTATGTCCCTTCAGGCTGTTCAACTGTTGTAAATCAGTACGATATGGAAATTACGTTTAGTAAAATTTTGTTTATGTCATACGGAAGTACAACCATTATATCAACCCGAGAGGACATGTCAAAGACTAAAACGATTTATTTTGATTGTTTAATATTATGAAAGGAATTTTTTTAAATGAGGAAAAAAAATTTGTAATACAAGTTGAATTTAATAATTTAATGTTCATCATACGCCCTGTCACACCTATTAAAAAATGTTCTACAATTTCAATCCTTCAGGACATACACAAATTATTCGACTAGAAAACATATCGTTTTGCAGCCTTGTAATACACCGTTAAAAAGCCGCTATACTTTTCGATTAATTAATTTTTACGATGTCCTTGGGAGAAATCCTGTCGTCCTATTAAAAATTTAAAGATGCAGATTTACTAGAAATGCGTTCAAATATGGGAAACATTTCGAATTTATTGCATTTCCAAAGTTTTCATGGACGATTTGGCAGTCTAAGTTCAAGTTATTAACTAAAACTTCAACTAAAAGTCGGCACGGGTGATCGTTAGCCTACGGCCATAAAACTTTATATATATGCTATTTAGGCTAAAAAGCACAAATATAGAGGGTATGCATATCAAAATTTGCACACAAGTTTTTTTTCCATATATTCTTGGGACAGTCTAATATACGTATATAGTAAAATTAATTAAACAATTGTCTAATTAATAAATATATACATTTTCATACAAGGCAGGACCAAACAGTACTAAAAATATGCTGCAGAAACACAACAACGAACAACAGCTTAGCTAAGTAGCAATGACACGCTAAAACAGTAGTGCAATTCATAAAATGTCGCAAAGTGACATTTTTGGCGAAATGGCAACGTTGCGAACAACAAATGCACATTTAAAAAAAAAAAAAAAAATTCGCGCGTAAGTGAAAAAGAAGAGTTTTTACAATTATGTTTCGAAGTAGCCTTAACTGATACACTTTTTCTTGAAGCATTCGAGGACAATAAAATATCATGTTTTTCGCGACTTTGAGTTTGCAATGATTGCCAGCTCAAATATACGGCAATTTTGTCGCAGGAGAGTTTTCATACAGCTGTGTCGCAAGGTGCCAAATTTGTCAACAAATAAGACATTTGCAACAACTTTGCGACGTTTCATGAATCCCACTAATATGTTTGAGATGAAATGACATGGCATGGTACCTTGTTTGAGTTAACATGACATAGCAATGCATGAAATTTTTGAAAATGACATTTGTACAGAAAATGTTGAATTTTGCAGTAGATAACATATCGCCAATAAAAAAATCTCGATATACCAGAAAAAAAATTAAAGATGTATTTTAATTTAACATACCTATGAAGATATTAAATAATCAACATTAATATTATTATTGGAAGGGGGAAATAGTTAAATATCTCGGGCCTGTGTAATAAACACATGGTCAGATGTTTGAGTCACTGTTTTCTACGCGCGTTAGGCGAAGCTTTATCTTCAATTTGTGTGCCTTGGTGTTGTCACATAAATGGGGGAACCTCCGAACAGCAATCGATTTGTATAAAAAGCTTCCAGAATTTTGCCAATTCAACGCCAATCCTTCTTATAATTTATATGTTGCACTCAAGGGTCATGAATGAGACGTAAAGTAAGTCAGCTTAATATACTTTAAGCTAGGAGTTTGGTTTTTAAAACTAATTCACAAATTTAATATCATCATTGTGGTGTTTGTGCTGATATTATTAAGACATTTAGAAAAATTGTCTAGTTAGTTGGAGATCATACGACCAATGCAAGGGTTACACATCTTATTAATTTTGCCAATTTGTAAAACACTAAAAATTTACGATATTTTAATTTTTGTGAAACTCAGGTTACGCTAACGCTAAAATTTATAAATGCGACAATGCAAAGTGTCCACGACCAGCTTGTTTTATTTCTGACGGTTCCAGCAAGGATGATAGCTTCCCCTGTGCCCGTCCGTCCTGTGTGGGCCGTTTCAAGTTGGTGCGTCACGTGAGTTTCGTGGATTGTCCTGGTCACGACATTCTTATGGCTACCATGTTGAACGGTGCTGCTGTAATGGATGCTGCACTACTCTTAATTGCTGGTAAGTTAGGTTGCCAGACTGCTGTATATCTACATTTATTTTACCTAAAGAACAACTACTTTATTATTTTTTTTATTTGTAGGTAACGAATCCTGCCCTCAGCCTCAAACATCTGAGCATTTGGCTGCAATTGAAATTATGAAACTAAAACAGATCCTCATTTTGCAAAATAAAATTGACCTGGTGAAGGAGAGCCAAGCCAAAGAGCAGTATGAAGAGATAACGAAATTCGTGCAGGGTACAGTTGCCGAAGGTGCACCAATTGTACCGATTTCGGCTCAGCTTAAATACAACATTGATGTGAGTTATTATTATTACAAGTACCGAATCTAAGTCAGAACATGTTTTATTTGCAATGCGATTTTTAGGTATTATGTGAATATATCACAAAGAAGATTCCCGTGCCTCAGCGCGATTTCAAAGCACCTCCTCGGCTAATTGTTATACGTTCCTTTGATGTGAATAAGCCAGGTTGTGAAGTCAACGATCTGAAAGGAGGTGTGGCCGGTGGTTCTATCCTTTGTGGTGTATTGAAAGTGGGTCAGGAGATCGAAGTGCGCCCTGGCGTTGTCACGAAGGACAGCGAGGGCAACATAACCTGTCGACCCATTTTTTCGCGCATTGTGTCACTGTATGCCGAACAAAATGAACTGCAGTACGCGGTGCCTGGTGGTTTAATTGGTGTGGGTACGAAAATCGATCCGACACTATGTCGTGCAGATCGTCTCGTTGGCCAGGTGCTGGGTGCTGTTGGCCACTTACCTGACATATATATTGAGCTGGAAATTTCGTATTACCTCTTGCGACGATTATTGGGTGTGCGTACGGACGGCGATAAAAAAGGTGCACGTGTAGAGAAACTACAAAAGAATGAAATATTGCTGGTGAATATTGGATCTTTAAGCACGGGTGGTCGAATTTCCGCCACAAAGGGCGATCTGGCCAAAATTGTGCTCACCACACCGGTTTGTACTGAGAAGGGGGAGAAAATTGCATTAAGTCGTCGTGTGGAAAAACATTGGCGGTGAGTATTTACTCGGCCCTATTACGAATTTCACATCAACAAATATTCCCAAAAATTATAAAGCAAAACAAAAACAATGTTTCCAAATTTGTTTTTGTTTTGAAGGTTAAATTATGGGAACGATTTATTCACATGGAATTGGCGATAGGGCTGACTGTTTAAAAAATTGTTTTAGCTCCTAACTATACTAAGCTATTTTTATTTCTCCAGTTTAATTGGATGGGGCCAGATATTTGGCGGCAAAACTATTCAACCTGTACTGGACAGCAAACCCGCAAGAAATAAAATCGAAAGGTTTACACCACGAGCATTAGTATCAGTTTGAAACTTATTTGTTATAAGCGAACAAAACGCATTTGTCGGTCTTCAATTTTTATATATAAATTATTACCAGCCACAGTTTCCTTCTTTTGTTTTCGCGCAGTAAAACTGAAGACACCACCAATAGAACTTGTTTAAAAAAAGCAACAAATGATGAAATATTTAATTAACAATATAATTAAAGGAATTAGAATTTGTTATTTTAAAAAGGAAATAAAAGGAAATAAATTTTTACACAAAACAAAATGTGGGCATTGTTATGGAACAATTCCCATTTCCTGACGTTATATAAATAATCGATGTCGACACCAAACTTGAATTGTTTAACGTACTCGAAACAACATTGTCTATTTATTCCTGGAAAAATTCAAGTGACGAAATGCTCCGAAATCAAATGAAAATGTATGTATGTAGGTGTTTTAACTATATATCGTCGCTCCTATGCCAGAAACATGAATGTGTAAAAAGAAAATTTTGGGAAATCAAGTTTGATTTTTTTTTTTTTTTACGAGACTTAACTCTGCATTCATGTAATTGACATTGTGAAATACATATCGCTAGCTTAGAAAGAAAAGTTGCTAAGTCCCATTTTAAAAATTTTACAGGAGAGGAAAAAATCTTCCTATAGCCATTTGCTTTAACTATTTCGCAAGACTTTGAATCAAACATTTTGCGCGTTCAAAGCAAAGCAAAGCTCCATAAAAACCAGAAGGATTCGATATTTATTAAAGGATGTCGTATTATTTTGGCCTTATCGGATTTGTGGCGCTTCTTTTCCTTTTATTGCTTATGAAGAGGAAAAAATAAAATAAGTACTTTTATAATTTTCGAAACGATGTATACTCAATTTCCTAGCCTCTTATATCAAAATAGAAGTTTTCATAAAAAGTGGACTTAGCAACTTTTCATTCTAAGCTAGCGATATGTACTTTCCGTGCACGCATGTTATTCAGGGTTTTGGTATAACACAGAACATCCAAAGGTTAATCAGGTCAACCAATAACTAAGAAATCGTAAATTTGCACAATCAATCGTCCGGAATACGGGTGACGATATTATCTACCGCCTGGAAGAATGATGCGTATATTTGTTGAATTTTCGGTAATTGCGATTGAAATTTGAAATCTTGTTTCATAAAGTTTTTATAACGTAAGTGAACTGCCAAACAAAGTTTTGCACAGAAACGCCGATTAATTTGGTTTTAGCTTTCATCTAATTTGCAATCGTCTTTTAACATTTTCCCCCCAAGTTAAGTTCGCATCTGGTTGAGGACGAAATATCTTTAGATTTTTTTTTAGTAAATTTAATAATATACATTAATTAATGTCATCTATGAGATTTTATTTTTAATAAAATGTTTAAAAACTGAAGCATCTTTTTGTTGTTTTCAGATCCAGTTTGATTTGAAGATTTTGCTTTGTGCTGCGATTTCGAACCAATATGGCAGTGTAAGACTCCCTTTCGTATGATCTTTTTAAGCTGCAGAACTAAACGGCCCAGGAACCATTTTCTTAAAGAGCGTATAATTGCACACTTCGATGGCAGCGTGTTCTGCTTTCTCGGAACAGAGAACGTTCTCTGTCTGGCTCTCACGCCCTCAGTTGAACTGTTATTTTCACTCAATTCGTTCTTCAATTCAAATCCCTTAAATTGAGTATATGCATATACAATAAGGTGGTTCTTAAAATACTCCAAAAATTAAAATTTTTTTTAATCTAATCCGCGAATTAGTCAACCAAAATAGCAAAAAATGTATGCAATTTCAAATTCTCTCATTTTTATGTCCAAAATGGCATAGTCCAAAATGGCATAACATATTATTATTTTATATTTTCTTTTCACATTTATTTGAGCAATCTGATTTGCGCCTCTTACTTCTTGAAACAAAGCTCTAAATAGCATAGGTTTTAAGCACAATATCTTTTAATAAAAAAATCAATTTCTTCAACGGAGAAAAAAAAACGTCCGTAACGTAACGTCCCGAATTTTGTAGGAGAAATTGAAAAACGCCGTTTTCGGTGACGAAAAAAAATTCAATATAGTTGATCCAGAATCCCACCATATATATTGGAGTCATTCGGCTTCCATGGCAAACCTGCCCTTGGCGAAAAGAATCTCTGATATATGCATATATGTATAATTCCTTTACTGGGGTAGAAGAGGTAGCGGCAATTTCTGCGTACTTAGCGCTCAATATTAGTATTTTTTGGATTATGACACTATTGGAAGTAAATGAGCGATATGTATTATTTAAAATATTCTTACTTCATAAATTTAGCAACACAAATTAGGTTTTTTGTACTATTAAAATTTTTATTTTTCAGTCGGAAACTAAATATACATACATATGTATGTATGTACATATGTAATGCACACATAAATACTTAGATCGTTATGTATGTTTGACTAAAGCTTCATTTTATCCATTAGTTCGCTTAGAACTGGTGAATTTTTTATTTTTGTTATGTAATAAGCATGTATTGTACATAACAAAATTAGCTAACAACTACGTGTTGGACTAGCAAGTTTTTAAAATTAAATGAATAACCTTACTGAATTTCTATTATACTTCTTTTTAAGTTCAAAACTTCATAGCTGTGTATTTTTTTCGATTTCTGGGTAAGTGGGAATAGGAAACTGAACAAAAAAACGGGAACGTAAAAAACCCAATGCTCTTAAAAAATTTAGTGCATCTCTTAAAATTCAGAGGGGGTAGTGTTTCAAATAGAGAGCATCACTTAACTTATAAAAGAGGTTGAGATTCCCGAAAATTATAATACTTTTCTTAAAATGTATACATACATAATAATGAAAATCAGACCGCTGTTTGTATGTTTTGAGCAATAATTCAGAACTAAAAATATGTTTAGCAACAAGTGAAAGGATGCTTAATATTATTATAAATACTTTTTCTAATAATATATCGTCGTTTAGCTGTCAAAAATTGGATTTGTTCACACAAGCTCTTGGCTCAATCCTTTTACATTCGTCCTGAAATATACTGGCCAGGTATGCGATTGCTTTTTTAAAAAGAGAACCATTTTGAAATATGAGTGCTTTTACTCTCTAGAAGATAATTTACATAATTCACATACGCTGTTTTGCATTTAGTTGATACGCGGTTTTGTACTTTAAACGTATGTATATTAATGATCTACGCACGACAGAAGCAATACTTTCGCAATTCCGGATTGCGCTCGTATATGCAATTAGCTTGATCGCCATACTTATTTATACGCGAAATTTCTGTGGCCTTTGTATGCATTTCGAAAGTGTTCAGGTCATATGCAACGCTCGCTTCGAAAAGCGATTGTCCAGGCGCCACAACGATCTGCAGCTGATACAATTCTTCATGCATTCGCATTTTGTCACTCATATCGGCAACATAGCCATCCTTATCGCTGTTTTGCTTGTAGGTTAGAAGCTCAGTATGCGGGTGCAGCCGCAATGCCCAGTTGATACGTTCAAGTTCGAGAGGCGCACAGAGGTTACGGTAGGACTCGGTCAAATCGTTAATGGTCATTACAATGCTAGCGGCTGCTTTGAGCAGAATTGGAGTATGTGCTTCGCTTTCATTGAGCGACAATCGCTGCCAGTTCAGGCAGGCACACCAGTGTGGCTCGATGTAAGCATCGCTGCAAGATCGGTTCTTTGGTATTAATTCTAATAGTGAAATTGCCCGTTTTTGTGCAAGTTGTTTGAACTTTGGATGGACAAGGTTCTCGGTTGAAGATACTGGTTGTGTGTAGTAATCTAAAACTGCATTCTCCGCTTGAGTGTCTTCTAGACCTGTTTGCAGCTCTAAAGATAATTAAACGTTTGAACAGTTTGTATTAAAAGAATAAATTTGCAAAATACATTACGCTTACCAAGAATATGTTGAAGTGTAGCATGTACGTCAAACGGCGTAGTCAAAAGTTCAGTGTTCGCTATAAAATTTGCATATTGTTTTGGAAACTGTTTTTGAAATGCTTTTGGAAACGCAAAGCTGAAAAAAGGCAGACGTTCTTCTTGTTTTCCCTGTAGTGTAGCGCGTACTTCAGCAAACCTAATAAAAAATTTTGTCTACAGGGATTTGTAGCGCGTACTTCAGCAAACCTAATAAAAAATTTTGTCTACAGGGATTGCAATTGGAGGAGTTAATGTTAAACTTGTAATTAAAAAGATAGCACCATCATTATCGAAGTTTTGTTTAGCTAAGGAGATTTTATTGACACGTTACCACGGTTATATCAACTCGCTTTCTTGTTTGTCCAGATTGCAGTACAGTTTTCTATGTACTTTATACTTTGGACACAGGGCGTGAGCATTGCCATTCGGGTAGGAATGGGGTTTAAAATGAAAGACGAGTCCATTTATAGAAACGTGGAATAATTTCACCATGGCATATTAAACGGTTTTTTATTTGATTTTTTTTTTTTAGGTAGGTGGGTCTGGTTAAATACACGGATCACTTTTTCGAAATACAGCCGTTGCACCGGCGCAAAAAAAATTGGTCGGTGTATTTTACCAGAGGTGTGCGAGTCAAACAGACTCAGGTTCGGATTCAGTGGGTCGAAATACAAGACCCAAGAAGCGTGCCGCCTCCATCGGTAGGTGGGTCTGATTAATGCAATTATCGAAAGTTGTGTGTAAACGGCCCTTAGCGATGATATGATTTTACATCTCACACGCACGCCATGTTAAAAATTACGCAGATGTTTTAGTTCAGTGAGCACTGGTCCAGGGTCTAGACTATGGCCCTTATTATGAGCTGCATTCGATTTTCGATCTTCGCTGGCTATCGAAGATCGAAGATCGCAAGTGAAATTCGTATTATGAGCTATGCAAGCGTGTCGAAATTTTCGTTGAGTATCGAATTTTCTGTCGAACAGAATTTTGCTTTCGATGGTGTAGCGAAGTGTTAGAAAATTGTGAAAAATGTATGATTTTGTATATGTTTTCTTACATTTTGGCGGCTAGACACTAATTTTAAACAATTTTTATTAATTTCATGCAGTTCTAACATCGTGAATACTAAACACAAGCTCGAAAAGCTGGTTTTACTTGTGAAAGAAAATCCCAATACTCTGTTGGCACGATCTCTGAGAACAAAATCGTAGCGCTGTTGATAGTTTTAAAATATTTTAAATAGATTTGGCTCACAAACGCCTCTTTAGATGGTCGGAACTTTTTAATGAATCTGTAGACAAATTTCTTAAATATATTTTATATCAAAATATATTCGAAAGACTAATAAACTTAAACTCTCTTAAACATTTGCTACTTCTGACCAGTTTACTAAGCTCTCATCCTCTGACGAATCGTTGAACCAGAACTCGTTGTACTCATTTTACCACGTTTTTATAAACTTGCTTTCTTTTTTACTTCATTTTAATTAGAACAAATTTACATAAATATGTATAAGCACACTATTTAGTTTGCTCGATTTGTAAACAAAGCTTCTCA